AAAAAAAAAAAAAAAAAAAAAAAAAAACAAGCCGGGTGTGGTGGCACATGCCTGTAATCCCAGCACTCAGGAGGTCAAGGCAGGTGTATTGCTGTGAGTTCAAGACCAGCCTGGGCTACATAGTTCCAGGTTAGTCTCAACTACATAGTGGAACCCTGTCTAAAAAAAAAAATTTGAGAGGGCCAATGATGTGGCTGGCAAGCTCAAGGTCCTGAGTTCAATCCCTGGTACTAGAGAAAAAAAATAAGAGGATAAACCTGCTAGGTTAATAGTGTAACAATGCCAGTTTAAGAAGAAGGTTCTCAGGACGAAGTAATCCTGGCAGAAGTTCTGGTATGTCTAGCTTCAGTTTTCCTCAAGTATTTAAAAGCTCCTAGAGAAACCACTGAGCATAAATGAGTCTTGGATAATAGGCTCACTATGGTTGATGTGGGTGGGGTGTTTAACTGATATAAAACATGGGCCAGATATTGGCCTCCAGCAGGAATTTGATCAGGAGAAATGGTTGCTCCGTGTTCTTTCCTAGAATTACCGAGGCCCACCTGCAGCCCTCATGAGTAAGACAAAACCAAATACACTAAAAGTGGATACTCAGATGAGGCAAGGGCTTGATTAATACAGGATTGAAGTAAGCAAGCACAGCTAAGACTCCAGGCTCATCCAAGCCCTTTTCTCTGGGGAAGATGACAGCAGTTATGATGACAAGCCTTGATATAGCTGTACTTTTAGTCACACTACTCTTTTGCCTGATTAGCCTCTGATTTGCTGTATAGTGTCGTCCTGGGAGTTCTCACTCTCCTTGTTTTTGTCTTAGTGATGTAGTAGAGTGTGTATCTATCTAATGGTACCTTGAGGAAAAAAAGTTTGGGTAAAGAATTCTTGGTTTAAAAGGGTTGTTTGTTTTTTAATTTTGAAAGCATCGCTCCACAGTAACTTATTCTAGTGTTCTTGCAAAGAACAATTCTTATTTTGTATCTCTGGTATCCTATAAAATTACTTTGGTCACAGTACTTCAAAATTTCATTATCATGGGCATTGATAAATTGAATCAGTGTTTTAACATCTGTATTCAGAGATCTCTATTATAGTGAAAATAATATGTCTTCGCTTTTAGGAGTTTTATTTAAATTATTTGATTGATGTTTTTTTCCTGTATTCTTTCTTATTTCTCTGGAGGATCCTGTGGTCTAGACATTCTATCCATGGGACAGTTTTTCTCATCTCTCCTGAGTTCTATCTTTCTGTTCTGTTTTCTGGGAGATTTCCTCAACACAATCCAAATCCAGCCTATCTGTTGAACTTTTTATTTGTTTATGTTGTCTTCTCATAGAGCTCCATATAGCTACCCACTACCATTTGTTTTGCTCTCCATCTTTCACTTTAGAGGCTTTCCCCATATGTTTGATAATTTGTGATTGACTTCTCAGGTTTAAAAGTAGGGAGGGAACTAGGGAGTGGAGGTGTACTTAGCATATGTGAGGCCTAGGTTCAATCCCTAGCACCATATATGAGTACATAAAAGTGGACTAAGAAGCATTAAATGTTGCTATGTTTGGGCCTAATATCTGTGAGGTGCAAGTTTCACTATAGGTGGTAGTAGTCCTAATAACAGTATCTTTAACTCTCTCTTTGTATTGCAGTCTTGGGTTCTACAGAGACTTCACTAATCCCTGGTTATAGGGAGAAATACTGAGAACCAAGTGAGAAGAAAGGGCTAGAGTTTAGTAGCTGCCTTCAGCAATGCCTGGTGTTAGGCCTCAAGAAACTATTCAGAGAGTAAATTTCCATTTTTCAGTCACAGTGTGGTAGATTTATTTGTTCTTCCATGGGGAGTTAGGGAGAGGATCTAATTGTTTTTCACAAAGTCTTCAAGTAGCCTTCCTTATTATCAGCGTTTTTTCACGCTACCTCTTATGGTAAATCCCAGCCTCTGGATTTTTGTACTGCACATCAGACTGTCTCTCAACTTATGAGTTGGCCATCTGAAATTTTCCCAATTCATTTATCTGCCCTCCAGCTTCCTAGACTCTTTATTACTATTACCTCTTTTCTCATTCTAATATTTGTGTAAGTATACCTATAAAAATGAAATTAATTTAATGAAGTACAATTGGGGATTCAGGAAAGAAAATGCATGTGTTCCAATTCTTATCAAACAGCCATTACTGAAGACTTAAAATTGGAGTCACATGATTTGAATTTTAGGGAAGCTAGTATCTTTTTCTATTTATACATATTCAATTATTTTTAAGGGAAATGCTTTTGGTTTCAATTTAAGTTAAAAGGTAAAAAAGGATGATCATTGTAGCTTTTTGTCATAGGCAAATTTAAAAATCTAAGTAATAAGTTTGTTAAGCAAGTTATATACTTATATAGCCATTAAACTATTAAAGGAAACAACGGTGTGGAAAAATATATTTTTAAACATTTATAAACAAAAATATTATAAAAATTGAATGTTCTCATGTGCCTTAAAAAACGGTTTAGGAGATGTACAGCAAAAAATAACTAATGATAAGCTTTTGAGTAGAAGAAATGTAAATTTTGTTTTGTTTTTGTACTTTACATGTCTGTGTTTTATAAACTTAAAATGAGAGAAGCCATTATGAAGAATGATCAGTGTACAAGGATTGAGTTAGCTTCTTATATTTACCCTAGAGGGCTTAGGAAGGACAATATAACAGTTGCTTTAAATATCAGAAGAGCTTTTCTATAGAATTAAGACAAGCTAATACTATGAATAGTCTTAAGGTTTGCCTCAAACGTCAGTGAAGGGCAAAGTATTGCTGGGTTCCTTTAGACTGATTTTGCAAAAAGTGACTCTGATATGGATAATGCATATGTGACATTTTTAGAATTAGGTAAAAATCTTAAAAAAGATTTAAAGTGGCTGAAAGAAAATAATAAGGACAGGTTTCCTTTTCCAAACTGTCTGAAAAAGCTCCTTGTTTTAACTAGTGTGCAAAAGACTGTCTGTGGTAGTGATCTTTTCCCAAAGCTTCAGAATCAACTAATTGTCTGCTAAACATCCTTGCAAATTCATGTGCCAGCCCATCTTCCATCACAGTCCTAATCACACAAGACCGTGTCCTTACTTATGTTTTTTCTTTTTTTGGTACGGGGATTGAACACGGGACCTTGCACTTGCAAGGCAGGCGGCAGAACCACTGAGCTAAATCCCCGGCCTTTACTTATGTTTTCTGTTTCATTTGATGATATAGCTTACCAATTCTCATGTGAAACATATGAGTCATTTTTTATTACTCTTGCCTCTTTTAACCAGTCATGCATAAAGCCCTGATTGGTCTGCTTCCACATTTCTGTAAAAATCACTTCATTCCCATCCTTATTACTGCTGCCTTGTTTCTGGCCTTCATCATCTCACCTTAACTACTGTGCAGGCTTTTCATTTGCTCTCTCCAGTCTAGCATTTTTCTCTCTCCTGAGATTGTATCTTTTATGCTACCACTAAAGTAAGCTATCTAAAATGTATACCTCAGTGTAATATTCAGGAGTTCAAAGCCCTTTCTTCAGTGTCTTCTCCATACTCTGCAGGATAAAATGTATGCTCCTTCCTGTGACACATAGAGACGATCATGACTGGCTCAGTTACCCCTGCCCACCTCTGTCACTATCTCTCCTCCTACTCCATGCTAACATTGCACTCTCTTAGCTCTGAAATTCTCTTCATCCCTGTCATGTAGAAGTTGCTGCTTCTCTTTGCTTTTTTCATTGCTACCTCTCTGAAGTTTTGTGCCTTCCAGTCTACAAGTCACAGTAGTAATGATGTCTAACTAGTATTCACTGTTTGAAACTCCCATTCTTACCTGTTAGCCTCCCTCTTAGGTTCATTTGAATAGATTTGCCAAACACAATATGTCAATTTTTCTTTTAGCAAACCTCTTACTCCACTGAATTACATTTACTAGAATATCTTCCCCATTCCTTTACACACACACACACACACACACACACACACACACACCAGTAATTTCTTTGGGGTCAGGACTTGTACCTGTGTCATTTTTATAGTTTCAGTTAAAGCACTGTTTCTGGCAGATAAGGTCCCAGTAGCTTTTTACCAAATGAGCCAGTAACATCCCTCTTAAGTATATTGGAGCACAAAAACAATAAATACTATCTGATAGACCTGTGACTGAAGGGTTCTTTTAAATTGAATATTGACTAATTTAAATTGCCACGTTTGTGCCTCAGGAGAAAATTGGATTTTCTTATATTTTAACTCTGCCCTTTTATTTATTGAGAATGGAAACAAATTTTTTAAAAAGCTGCTACCAGTTTAGTGATTTTTTTTCAAGGAAAAGAGGAAATTGAATTTTTCAATTATAATGCTTATTAATGCTTTTGCAATAAAAAAGTATGCTCGTAATTAGTTTAAATGAGAACACTAGCTGCTTATTATTAAGTGTATATTTGTTATAGACTTAGTATAGGTCAGTTTTTCCCAAGCTTGAGAACAGTTAAGGTTTTACAACATGGCTTATTTTACAAGATATTTTGAAAACTTTTGTTTCTTCAAGGATAGCACATCTGTTGACCTTAGGTAAATTAATTTCTTTGAGCAGTAGTTTATTTTGTCCTAAAATGGAGATGGTACTTATTACTTAGCCTTCAGTTTCTTCAGAGCAAAACAAGAAATTGGTTACAAAAGCAGCCAGGAAAATGTAAAAGCACCTAATAGAGTGGTATTTAGTGTTTAGAGGAAGTGTGTGTTGCATATTTTGATACTAGATTAAAGTAACTTTTTATTGGTCATTTGGGAGTGATTCAAAAGAAAGGAGGGGAGCCTATAAGGTTTTTTTTTTTAAATATTAACATTTAATTGGTTTGTTTCACTATAGTGAAATACTAATGTAGCAGAAAGGTCATATTTTTGCTTCTAAAAAGTTACTTTAAATTGAATCTGAGTAGTTCCAAGGAAATACCTGTAATGATAATTGTTTTCCATGTTCAACACCATAGGTATCTATGCCAGCAGCTCATGCAACATCATCTGCTCCCACCGTAACTTTAGTACAGCTGCCCAATGGGCAGACAGTTCAAGTCCATGGAGTTATTCAGGCGGCCCAGCCATCAGTTATTCAGTCTCCACAAGTCCAGACAGTTCAGGTATGTGTATAAAAAGTTTTGCATATACTTTTGTAACTATTGTTTATAGCCATTTCTGTCTCCTTTCATTAGTTATAAAACTAAGGACACATCTAGTTCATAGTTTTATGTCATAATAAAGGAATATGCTGCATATGTATAGTCATCTTTATATGTAGGAATGTATGTACACATGAACATATGAAGAAAATTACTTTTTCTTAAGCTGCAGAAAAAAAGAATTGATTGGGGAAAATAATTAAGTACATAGGATAAAGTAAAATATTTGGGAGAGACTATGTAAAGCTGATGAACTTCAGTTAAGAAAAATTAAGATACATAGGTAACTTTGTAATAATATTCTAAACCTGCATTTAGGTGAGAAATCCTTGATTAACAAATTATTAATTTTATCTGAGGTATTATTTGGATTTAGAGATCACATACAACTTTTGTAATATATATTTTATTCTGAGCTTTTGGTTAGAGTGTACGACTTGGAAATAATAGTGTATTCAGAAGGTACATTGATCATATGGCACATTAGCTTATTCTTTGGTGTTTGTGCCTTTGGTTTGAATCCAAAGAGAATAAAGGCACTTTGGACCTCTGAAGGTGACTATTTAATTGTAAGGAACCAAGAGCAGTATAGACCTTTGCAGTTGAGCTAATTGAAGGGGAAACAAAGAAAGAGGAAACAGAGAGGGAGAGAGAGAGAACTTAATGTTCATTCAAGTAGGCTATAACCCCAGCCTCCCATTTCATATATTTTGCTTCACAGTCTTCCTGTAAGGACTTAAAAAGACTTTTCTCCAGAACACAGGTGAGTCCTAGGTCCTACATTTGAAGAGAACTATTATTAGAAAGGAAGGTGAGAAATTACCTTTATGTCTTTGTCCTCTAAAAATGTGAAATTTCAAGGTTTAAGTAAAATCCTTAGATCCTTACATGTCTTCTACTGCCAGGCCAAACTTGCTACCTACTCAGTCCTTAACATATTATTTAATTCCTCTTTATAATATTTCTCCTCCTCCACATGGTATTCTAGCATTACTTGAGCACTCTCAGAGAAAGGAATCTGTCTCCTAAGGTGATCTACTTAGAGTTCTAAGTAGTTCGGAGTGATTTCTAAATTTTTCTTTATGGTATTGAGCCAGAATATGTTTTTGTAAAATTGTTACATGATATTTCCAGTTCTGTCCTCAGAAACGAGATTGGCAAATCTGATTCCTTTTCTGTTGGACTGTTTCCTCTTCTACCACTGTACACTGCCTATTTATAAGAAAATTTCCACGCTCAACAAACATGTTTTTCGTTTCTTTTCTTTTTTTTTTTTTTGGTACTGGGGCTTGAACTCGGGTCTTTGCGCTTGCAAGGCAGGCCACCAAACCGCTGAGCTAAATCCCCAGCCCAAACGTGTTTTTCTTTAACCTTATGTTATATTGTGTACCTTTGATTTCCCCTTCACCATCCTGGTTGTTTTTCTTCTAGGTGAAAGCTTTTATACGTGATAACCCAGAACTCATTGATATTTGTAGAGGAGAAAAGGATTCTCTTTATCCTTGAAGCATTTATTAAGGCCATACTAGTTTTTGCTTGTTTGTTTTTGTTTTGTTTTGTTTGCCATGTTATACTGAGTCATTGAGCTGCTATTGTCTCCTACTTGGTTCTGTCTTGGCTTTTGGTTTGTTTCAACACTTATGTATGGTTAGGAGATAATGTTTTTTGTGTGAAATCATCAAATTGTATAAATATGTATAAGATATTTAGAACAGATTTTGTTAACTAGTATATAATGTTATCTAAATAAAGATCTAAGTGTTGGTATTTCTGTGAAATCATAATGACGAGTTATTTTTTGCCTTAGTTTTTATCTCACTCCATACTACCTTAACATTATCCACAGAGTATCCCATTTCTAATTCCTCACCCATATCTTCCTCTTGGTAAAGTGTACAGAACTTGACCTGCTTGTCATGAAATCTCGATTTCAATTCCAGACCCAGTTTGCATATTAGTAGGCCGAATGACCTTGGGCATGTCAACCTTTTTTTTTTTTTTTTTTTTTTTTAACTTACAGAAGCGCTCTCTAAAACAAAACAAAAATTCCTAAAATTAAAACCACAACATTTGTAAAGACTTGATATTTATTGACTGTGTTCTTAAATCCAATCTCTATTTTGGAGCAATATAATTTGAACCTGGGGATTATATGGCCATTTCCTTTATAGAAGTATGTATTCATCTTTTCAGGAACACATTTGCCATTAAGGTGAGCTATGCTTACAATTTAAAATATGTGTATTTGCTAAGGAAAAGTTGGACCAAATCAAGACACAAGTGTACTTGCCTTTAAACAGCCTAAACCATGGAGAATCTATTGGACTTTTAATAGTCACTTCAGCTGACTAATAGTGATTAATAATACTAACTGGTAAATAGTTTATATCAGAAAAGGACATCAAAAAAGTACAGGAATTCTGTCATGTCTAGATAAGAGAATATTAGTAATATGTAACAAAATTGCCAAAATATACAAGTACATTTTTCTTGATGGGAGAGTAAGATATTTGGGCTTCTATTTATATATTTTGAGACTGTTAGAAAGTGAGCTGTACTGATATTTCATATACAGCTTGGTTTTGGTGCCCTAATTGTTCTTAAAAAGATGAGTAACATCTCAGAGCTTATTTGAGATTCCTCACAAATTCATTAGGATTTACACAGTGTATAGGAGTTGACAGTGGCATCCTTGTTTTCATTACTTTTGGCCACATATCAGTGTAGTGTAGTTTAAATGTGCCAGACATAGAATTTATAAATTATATTAAAGTATTTCATGTTTCTTTAACAAACGTTTATTGATCACATGCTATGTGCTAGTCATTGTTCTAGGTACTATCACAGACAACAGTGAAAAAACAATACGTCTCTATTTGCATGAAGATCACATTTGAGTGAAGAGAGACAGACTATGAAATAAAATATGTCAGGTGAGGATAAGTGCTGGAGAGGTTAATAAAACAGGGAAAAGAGAAAGATGATGTGGGAAAGGTGTTCTATTTTATGTGAGGTGTTGGGGGAACACTGAGAGGAGACCAAAAAACAGCGAAGGCAACTAAGACAGGCCGATAATACAAGCAGATTCAAAGGATTGAAAATAAAAGTATGGTTGGATATCAAGGAATAGCAAGTTGTTGCTGGAATAAAGAAGGAAGAGTGGTTGAAGATGAAGCTTTTGATGGAATCTTTTTAATACTTTGCAATATGATGGGGTCAACACTAAAAATTTGTACAACATAGAGGTAGGTTCTGTGCTCATTACTTAAGAGCTGTATAACTTAAGGATAGTGTTTTGTTTTTTTTAAACATAATTGTTCAAAGTTTCTGATTTTCATGATGATGGCAAAGACTTAACAAGGGCTTTTTTGGTTTGTTTGTTTTTGTGTTTTGTTTTTTTGTACTGGGGCTCAAACTTGGGACCTTGCGCTTGCAAGGCAGGTGGTGGCACTACTGAGCTAAATCCCTGGCCCTACAAGGGATATTTTATGTGACAGATATTTTTGAAAAAAATCCAGTTGACATTCTTTCTAGGTGGAAATGATATTCTAACCATGAATGAGATAATTGTTGCTTTTTGAAAGAAATGTGCAGTGGAGAGAGCATTTTGAAAATAGAAATTGAGAAATCATCCATACTTTCCACTGCAAACAATGTATGTTGTCTACTCTAATAAATTCGTATACTATTGAAACCTTAGAAATACTGTTTCCTAAACTGTACAGAAGTTTGGCACATGTTGAACTTATTTGTTAAAAATACGAAATTGTAGCTAGGTTTGGTGGCACCTGCTTGTAACCTAAGCTACTCAGGAGACTAAGGGAGGAGGTAGCAGAATCAAAGCTAGCCTTGGCAACTTAAAAATAAAAATATCTGAAAAATGAAAGTTTTTTTTAAAGGGCTAGTATATAGTTCAGCAGTAGAGCCTTTGCCCTAGGTTCATTTTCCAGTACTGCCAAAAAGAAAGTAATTAACAGCTTCCTCTTAACTGTGCAGTATCTTAATTAAAGCCAGGGAGTGAAAATATACTAGATAGATGTCATAAATGGTAGGTGACAGTGAAAAATGATTTTTTTATAAGCACAGCTTGAGTAAGATACATTTACTTTTGTGACCTGTGTATTCTAAATTGTGAGTTACCTTTTTCAGAACTAGCAGATGTTGAATAACATTTCCAAAAACCTAAGCTTAGATTAGTTCCCTGCCCATAAATAAGTGTTATAGTGATGATCTTTAATGGGGTATGTTTAATGACATTACTTCACCATAGTGAAAAATTATTTATTTCTAAGAGACTTAAAATTTTAATATCTGTACTTATTTAAGAAATGTTATTGTATGATATAAAGAACACACTTAAAAATTTGTAAGTAAGAAACACATGGCTGAGGCAGTGTGGTGGCACACATCTGTAATCACAGCACTCTGGGAAGCTGATGAGGCAGGAGGATCAAAATTTAGTGAGACGTTGTCTCAAAATAAAAAGGATTGGGGATGTAGCTCAGTATGAAGGCCCTAGGTTCAGTCACTAGTATTACAAAAAGGGGTGGGTGTATGTGAAGTTCTTTGTATAAATCTGCAGATCAAAAGTTTGAAGATCAGTGTTTGAGACTTCTACTAAATTCATTGATCAGTAAATTAAAAAAAATAAACTAAACCAGGGAAAGTGTGTAAGTTTTCAGTGGATTGTGTGTAATTTTCCCCCCAAATACCTAATGTTTTACCATTGCTTTACTTTGAAACTTCAAGTGATAATAAAGACTTTTCCCTATCATATAAATAGGAAGGTATAATTTTTAAATCAAAGTTGAGAAATGCAGGTCTAAAACTTTCTAAGTAGTGGTTTGGCTTTTTGAAATTTTTTGACTGTCACAAGTGGCCAAAATTAAAGACCGACTTAAGGAATTCAGGAAGAAGTTAATAAGAGATGTCAAGAAGTAAGGATCACAGGGATTCCATTGTTGGAGTATGATAATTTGTAATAATTTATAATTGATATAATGTTTTCATGTGATTGTTCTTAAGGTGTAAATATACTGAACTATTATTTTTACATGATTTTTTTTTTTTTAAGTCCAGTATGGTTTTTTTTGTTTTGTTTTGTTTTTTCGTACCAGAGATCGAACTTGGGACTTTGAGCTTGCAAGGCAGGTGGCGGCACCACTGAGCTAAATCCCCAGCCTTGTTTTGTTTTTTTAACCCGAAAATTTTAGCATAGTTTTAGGTTCACAATAAAATTGAGAAAAAGATGAGAAAAGTTCCCATATACCCTGTGTCTTCACACATACATAGCCCTCCCCATACTGACTTTACCACACAAGATTGGTATGGTTGTTAAAATTGATGGACCTATCATAATCACTCAAACTCCACAGTTTCAGTCTTGATGTTTGGTACATTCCATGCCAGTGTGGTTTCTGTTTTGTCTGAATTCCTTTTGTATTAAAAAGAGAATTAACATAATTATTAAATAGTGATTATTTGCTTCTGTCTGAATTGACAAAATTTTATAGATTGGAGGAGGGCAACCTTTTTTGTACTAAGTGTCATCCACTGAGTTTGGTGAGGGAGGATGAAAAGTCACATACAAAACAAAGTAATAATTTCTAAACTATCCTGTGGGTAAATAGCTTGTTTTAATGAGTTTCACATCAGAAAGACATGTTCCCAGACCATTAAATGTCCATAAGAAACAGTTGTAAGGATGAGGCATGTGTGAGTCAAGCAAAGTACAAAGAAAGCCACAGAGGAAGTGTTAAGATTCTGAGTGGATGCCGGGGATTTAGCTCAGTGGTTCTGCCGCCTGCTTTGCAAGTGCAAGGACCCGAGTTCAATCCCCAGTACAAAAAAAAAAAAAAAAAAAAGATTCTGAGTGGAGTATTCATTAATTAAAAAAACAACTTATCACAATACTGTTTACTTTGACCTTGGTTTTGTTCTGACACTCTGCTAAGTCCTTTTCACAGTTCCTGATCTGCTCTGTATCTGAGAAAGTTTGTGCAGAAACTGTTGATAAGACTAATTACAACAGCTTCTGATGAGTGAAACATTTTTTTACATGCTCCTTTAGAAGTATCTGTAGCATTTTTAATTTGCTAAGGATCATAGACTAAATTCAGCCTCGCTTATGGTCTTAGCTATCCTTTCTGGTTTTGTTAATCCTTGACTGCTTTTTAAAGTCTGAAAGATTTTTTTATAGTGCGAAAAACTGTACTACCTTTACTTTAAAGGATTTGGATAGGTAGGTACATCACCTTCTTTTAAGTGTATTTTGCAAAGTGTTACTAGATTAACCACATTCTTTTTTAAAAGTGATGATGTGTGTCACAAAGCACTGTCAAAATAAGTATAGTACCCACTCTCTAGAATCCTTAGGCTTGGACCACATAAAGAATACCTTTGGAGTTTCTCGGGTACTTCTTGAATATGATTTTTCTTATTGCCATTGTTACACACATATTTTGATGAGCTGACCCTTCTTTCTGGGTTAGATCTAATTCTCTTTCTGACAGTATCATGTGTGCCTGTTTTAGAAAACAGCCTAAGGCTTTTGCAGTTTAGAGGAAACTGGCAATATAGATTTATCAGATAAGCATAGGTAGGTTAGGGAACTGCTAGTCTAGACATAGGCTAAAAATGCTATTGAGTTGTTGCTTCTGCCAACACAGGTTTAAGACTGAAAGCACCAGGATTTTGATGCTGTTAAGGATCTCTAAAGTGGAGATACTAAGTATTAACAGGGGTACTGCTGCTTAGCTTTGTCACTTTGCTGAGTTACCTAACCTCTTTGTACCTTAATTCTTCCATCTGTAAAACTAATATAATACTAGCAACTATGTAGTGCCTGATGTTACTATATTAAGTAATATAAGTGTGCTTTAGCATAGCGCCTGGCACATAGTACGTCATCAGTAAATTCTAGTTTCTGTTGTTTCATCTAAATCTTTATTCACTTATCTTCATTATATTTCAGTCTAGGAATACTTCACCAGAAATACCTTGAATATTTGTTTTAAAATAATTGTAAAATGCTAGCTTTGAAATATGTCTATTTGTAGTAGAAAATTTTATACAAAGTTGCTATAAAATAACTATCTGGAAGGTGGTGAGGGATAGCCGATCTTATTCGTATCACTGTAAATGTACTTGTGATGTTTGCACAGTAAAGAAAATATTTGTATAGACTTAGGAGTAAATATTTAGTTTTTCCCTTATGTCTAAAACCTTATTTTTACTGGTGATTTTTGTTATAATAACCATAAGAAAAAAAACTGAAAAGTAAGTATCCAAGTATCCAAGATTGATTACATGGAGTCCTAAAAGAAATAAAGGACAAATGTTTTAATTATAAAATGTTATGGGACCTAAGTGTGATTGTCATCCAAGATTGATTACATGGAGTCCTGAAAGAAATTAAGGACAAATGTTTTAATTATAAAATGTTATGGGACCTAAGTTTGATTATCATGATAATGCTTTTCTTTATTTTCAGATTTCAACTATTGCAGAAAGTGAAGATTCACAGGAATCAGTGGATAGCGTAACTGATTCCCAGAAGCGAAGGGAAATTCTTTCTAGAAGGCCTTCCTACAGGTATGAGATTTAATAATTAGAATCAAAGATTGCAGAAAATCTTAGCTCTAGATGGAGATGTCAAAAGACCAGTACCAGAAAGATCACTTCTTGCTCTGAATGATCTTGAATAAACATTGATAATTTTATAGACTGTGCCACCTGCTGCTTTTCTGTTTGAGTTTGGAATACATTTGATAGAGTTACCACATTCTCTAGTGTCATTTCTAAAGCTATGCTAGTTCATTTGCTTCACTTTTGCAAACTATTTCTTACGCTGTAAGGCTTAGTAGATAAGTATTTATTAATTTAGTAGTTGTTGCAGTGTGGTACTTTGCTAACATCCTCTTAATTTCAGGGAAACTTAGGATAGTTTCAGGGGCATTTCTATAGTGGATGTTGCCTGGCCTATTGCTTGCCTCCAAAATAGACCAAAACCATTTATTGTGTGTAGAAATTGGCTCCCTATTAAATATCTCCAGGAAGGACATGACCACAGATCTTATTAAACTTATTTAAAGTTTAATAAATTTGAGACTTAAAATTATCTTTATTGTTGTAAGTCTAAATTTTCTATTTATGTATATTTGTTCCCCTTTAAGGGAGAATTATTTAGTTATTAAGCTAGCCCTTTTCTCTGTCCTTATAATCAAATGTAAAATCCTAAGTGAATACTGATTTTGGGGTGTTTTTTGTTTTGTTTTGTTTTGGTTTTTGGTTTTTTTTTTTTTTTTTTTGCTTTTTGAGACAGAGTCTTTCTATGTAGTTTAAGCTGGCATTGAACTCACTATGCATCCGAGGCTGGTCTTGAACATGTGGTGATCCTCCTTCCTCAGCCTGCTAAGTTGCTGGGCTTATAGGAGTACACTACTACATCCAGCTTGATACATTTTTAAGGCTTTAAATTTTATGTTTCTAGGTATATGTTGTGTGAACGTAGACATAAGGCTATCTTAGCTGCAGGCCTTCTAAGTCACAGCTTTTATATTGAAAAAAATTTATTTGACTTAATTGGCTTGTAACATTAATCCTAGCAATAATCATTGAAATAATTACACCTTAATAATCGAAGAAATATGCCACGAGACCAGACACTTCTAGAGAAAGGTTTTGGAAAGATAATGTTATTGGCCCTTACAATCAAACACACAGGGGTACCATTAAGTTTATAAATTCCTGAAACATAGCCCTTATTAATACAGCAAAGTAGAGCGGGGGATTTAGCTCAGTGGTTCTGCCACCTGCCTCAAAAGCACAAGGTCCTGAGTTCGATCCCTGGCACCCCCCAAAAAACCAAAAAGCAATATAGCAAAGTAATAAAATTCTTGTGATAATTGGAGTTTAATTGATAGTACTGAAACAACTCATTTTCATAGTGATTAATTTATATCTAGAGGAAGTCCTTGAATGGCCCCCACTTGGCCTCACTTGGCTTTTTTTTTTTTTTTTTTTTTTTTTTTGAGACGGTCTCACTATGTAGTTGAGGCTGACCTGGAACTCACTAGTATCCCAGGCTGGTTTCAAACTCAGACAGATCCTCCTGCCTCAGCCTCACACAGGTGTGTGCCTCTATGCCCCAGCCTTGGCTTCATATTTTTAACAGCAGTGTAGCTGAAAAATGTCAAGTCATGTTCATCAGATTTGCAAACAATAGAACCTTAAGTGATAAGGACCCTGAGGGTTAAGCAAGTGAGTACTTTGAAAGCATAGCAGCCAAAGGAAGTAGGTTAGAATAAAGTGATAGTATATTTGGGGTGGCGGATTGTTTTGAGTTCTTTATATATTCTAGATAATAGTCCTTTGAGGGGCAGCTGGTAAAAATTTTTTCCCACATTGTAGATTGTCTCTTAGTTCTGTTGATGGTTTCTTTTGCAGTGCAGAAGCTTTTTAGTAAGATGAGATCTCAGTTGTTGATTCTTTCTGCTAGTTCCCATGCTGCTGACGATTTGTTCATGAAGTCTTTTCCTATGCCAGTGTCTTCCAGAGTTCTGCCTAATTTATCTGCCAGCAAGTTCAGTGTTTCTTTTTTAATATTTAGATCTTTAATGCACTTGGATTTTAATTTAGTGCATGGTGAGAGATAAGGGTCTAGTTTTAATCTTTGGCAGGTTGAGATCCAGTTTTTCCAACACCATTTATTAAAGAAGCTATCTTTCCTCCAGTGGGGATGGTCAGCTCCTTTGTCAAAAATGAGGTAGCTGAGTATATCTGGAGTTGTTTTTGTGTCTTTCAGTCTGTTCCACTGATCCTCAGGTCTGTTTCTTTGCCAGCCCCCCAAATATAAAGACCCAATTCAAAAATGGGCATCTGAAATAAACAGACATTCCTCAGACAAAGAAGTAAAAGCACCAAGTAAATATATGAAAAAACGTTCCACATCACTAGAGATGCAGACAACACTGAGATTCCACCTCACCCCACAAAGAATGGCTGCTATCAAGAAATCACACAATAACAAATGTTGGCAGGGTTGTGGGGAAAAAGAAACCCTTCTCCATTGTTGGTGGGAGTGCAGACTGGTGCAACCACTATGGAAATCAATATGGAGATACCTGAAAGAGCTGGGACTAGAGGTTCCACTTGACCCAGCTATACCTCTGCTGGGTATCTTTCCAAAAGAATTGAAAGAATCATATCACAGTGACATATGCACACCTATGTTTATTATCAGCACAGTTTGTAATAGCTTAAACTTGGAAATAGCCCATTTGCCCATCCTTTGGAAACTGGATAAAGAAGATGTGGTTTTTCTATAATAAAATGGAATACTACTCAGCCATAAAGAATGAGAAATTAGATTCAATCATAGGAAAATGGATACATTTTGAGGATATACTCCTAAGTGAAATAAGTCATACATGTGTAAATACCGAATAATTTCTCTGGTGTGAAAAACTATAGTAGTACACAAGATCCTAATGAGATAATTAATGTGAAATAGGAAGAAAAGGGCTAAAGGTGTAGGGAAAGTGGGAAGAGTAGGGGAAGGGTAATAAGGGAAAAGAAAAAAATATGAGAAAATGAAAAAATGGAAATAAAGTGTTTGTAAATGGGGAGGGCAAGGAGAGGGTGAAGGGAGGGCAGGGACAAGGGGAAAAATGAGAACCAAGACCTGTCATGTAAAGGTACAAGATCCCAATAATGAATGTAACTATACTGTATGCCTAAAATGTACCAATAAACTCAGTAAAAAAAATAAAGTGATAGTAATTGTAAACATTTTGAATCTGAGTATAAAGTAAAACTAGTTATATCAGATTCGGGATTAAAAATCCATTTGGAAAAGCTACATAGGTCTTTAATTATCATCAACATAATGTGATCCACCACCCCCCATTCCCCAAAGCCAGAATACCATAAGGCTCTATTAGTAAAAACCTAGTGTCTAGACTAATGGAGGAAATGAATCCCACTGCTCAGACCATATCTGGAATGTACTTTAAAAGAGTGAAATGTAGCAATGTATTTATTAAAAAGAAAAAAAAGTGAAAGGTATTCAGGGAAGAGGACCGAGATGGTTCAGAACAGTGATGGTGTACATTTTAGAGCTTTCAGTGATAATAAACAGCCCACTGCAGCATGTGTGCCATAGGGTTGCCACGCTGGTTTAGAAGATAAGTAATTTGTAAAACTGGAAAAAGAGGAGTAAGAATGATCATGCAAAAGAGATGAAGAAATATATTTTCATTGTACTTTTCCATATATACACATACTGTGTGTATGTGTATAGTTTTTCTTTATTGTTCTATTATATTTGGTATCACTGATTCCTTTGGAACTTTTTCTTAAAATTCATATATTTTTAACTTGTGGTCTAAGTACTAATAGTTTTCTGCCAGCTTTTAAGTCTTTATTTGTATTTAGCCAGTAAATTTTACTCTTAATTAATATAGTTCTCTCTTTTTCTAGGAAAATTTTGAATGACTTATCTTCTGATGCACCAGGAGTGCCAAGGATTGAAGAAGAGAAATCTGAGGAGGAGACGTCAGCCCCTGCCATTACCACTGTAACAGTGCCAACACCGATTTACCAAACTAGCAGTGGACAGTACAGTGAGTAATCAGTATTTCTGTACTGAAGAAAGAGAAGAAAAACTAATGATTATATTCTCGGTGAAGGACTCAAGTACTCAGGTGTCCCTAAGTCTTGCTGCCATCATTTTATTTCTTTATTTTTCAGTATGCAGAGGATTTTCTTTTAGAGTTTTTTTTTTTTTTTTTTTCTGGGGATCAAATTCGGGCCCTGGTGCTTGTGAGGCAGGCAGCGAAACCACTGAACCTAACCCCTGGCCCTCTGTAGAGTTTTGGTTAGGATTATTCAAGTGTATAAGCCTTTCATGTGTGCTTTTGCATGTGCAGATGCAGTCTGAAGTTTTTCAGACAACTAAATAAAACTCAGGATTTTAGTCTTCATGCTGAGAGAATGAGTTTTTCAGATTAAAAAAAATCATTCTTTGTGCTTAAAGCAGAAAAAGTCTCATTCATCTCTTATTTTCTAAATGTAGCCTTTAAAAATCATATTTAGTAATGCTGCAATTAGGGGTGTGAGTGGTTTGGTTTTAGTCTGCTGCTAGCAATTCAATTATTTTATTATAAAAAGATAATATAAAGATAAGGACTGCTAAAGTTAACAGAATACTTTGCTTTTTGGCTCGAACAAAACAGTGATTTCTCCACAGATTTTAGCTTCCATTTGTGATGTCTTCATTTGACACCCAGATCTCATCTTTCACTTAAATCTATTATAAACTGTTGAATTCTGCTTTTGCCTGGTCAAAGACATTTGTGTGAATGTTATGTTCTCTCTTTCCTCTACCTTTTCCTTTCGGTGTACCTTATACATGACACCCGGGTTACTGGTTTTTTAGTTTCAGTACAACTTTGGTTTGTTTACATGCAGTTTGAATTCCAACTATAATAAAAACAGATTCTCAAGCTGCAACATTTTTGGTTCTCCCAAAACTAAACTTGGTAGTTTAAGCTACTTGTTAGCTAAGCTTAATGATTTAGTTGTCTTTTGTCGATGGTGGTGTTGTTGGCAAAGGTACATCTCTGTGGCTACATAAGTGTGCATATATTTTCAGTTTATGATAGGTTCATATTCAGATAATATTTTAGTATTTAAGGTGTGTCTTTTATGACACTGACACATGACCTTTATTTTCTCCCTACTTCAGCATACCAAAAGTATGTAAAATATTCCTGTCAGTAACAGATTCACTATTGCAGAATTTCTCACTTGAACTAGAAAGCATGCTTTTTAGGGAAGAAACATAGCTAAATCTGAAAGAGGGAAGTTTAGAGAAGTACTATCATCCCTTTACATATCTGATTTTATATCTACTTCTCCAGCAACTGAAAACTACTAGTTTTGCTTTTTTTTTTTTGGTACGGGGATCGAACTCAGGCCCTTGTGCTTGTAGGGCAAGCAGTGAAAACCACTGAGCTAAATCCCTGGTGGAAACTACTACTTTTAAAAGGTTAATAATATTTTGAAATTTTAAAAGCTTGATTCATTATTTTTATCCCCTACCTGCTGTCTTATACACATGGATTTGATGGAACTGTGTTGAGAACCAATATAATGAATGCTCAACATGTATAACAATGTTTATTTCTTAACAAGATGAACATATGGTTGTCAAATATCAATTGTTAGAAGGTTATATTATTATTAAAACACAGATTCCTTTTTATCCCTCTTTAGTAATAACAGTGACAGATTTTCTTCCTTTTTTTTTCTCTCCTTTCCCCAATACCTGGGATTGAACTCAGGACCTTGTGCTTGCCAGGCAGGTATGGCAGCACTACTGAACTAAATCACCAGCCTTCCTCCTACCTCCATTCTTTTTTCATACACATGCTGTCCTGTTAACATATATGTGTGTAGAATGTCTGCTTAATTACATCTTTTTCTAAATTTCTGATAGAATCATACCAGTTACTTGACTTCTGTCTTTTTAATTTTTGGGTTTTTTTTTGGGCGGGGGGTTGAGACAGGGTCTCACTATGTAGTTGATACTGACCTAGAACAGAACTCACTATGTAGCCCAGGCTGGTCTCGAACTCATAGTGATACTTATTCTGCCTCAGCCTCTCGAGTGCTGGGATTACAAGCATGCGCCACCATGCCTCGCTTAGAGTTTGATTTTGTTGAAACTCAATTTCTTTGATGTATGAAAAAGTATTATAGAGAAAAAAATGTCAGGATCAGACTTCATTTTCTTAAAGTATTTTCATATACACAACCTTATTTAATAATGTTTACAATTGTACTGTGTGGCTGTTTTTACAGAGGGGATAATAGAATCAAGTAAGTTTAGCAATAGAACTTGAATTATACCCCAAATTTTTTCAGTGCAATTTTCTTCTTCCACCCGTCTTGAATTCACAGCTGTGTGCCCCCCCCAAGTAATGACTAAATATACAGTACTAGGTCCTGGGTATGATAGCACACTTGTGTAATTCCAATGCTGAGGGAGTTGAGGCAGAAGGATCACAAGTTTGAGTTCTGCCTGGGCAACTAAGCAGAGGCCTGTATCAGAGGAGGGGTGGATGGGTGGATGGATGGATGGACCTGGGAATGTAGGTCATAGGCAGAGTATTCTTGGGTTTGATTCCCAGTACATAAAGCAAAAAACACACACAATAGGATGTGCTTATTAACTCTGTGAGAATTTGTGGTTCAATTCCATTAACCCTCTAATTCTTTCAAATAATCTTGAAAAATTAATCTTAGAATAATTCTTAATACATCCAATTTTCCTCTTGTCAAAGTAAAACAAAATAGCAAAAGTAGGTGGGTTGTATTGCCAGTGTCTTAATTTCTAAAAGTCATTTTGCCAACCAAATAATAACCACAAACTCTTATTTCTTGATTAAATAGTGTATAACCGATTTTTCATGTGCAGATGGCTTGGGCTATTAGTTTTCCATAGCCTGCTAATAACTGGTCCCAAACTAATTCCATTCTAATAGTAACATACACAAGTCAGGCATGTTGATCTCATATTCTTTTACTTTTATTTTAAATCAGTGGAAATTGATATATGTAAAATTGTAAATTTGGGGAGATCCTTTTTGTGCAAAAGTTGACCCTTTGCAAGGAGATTTTTTTTTTTTTCTTAGAAAAGTTTGACCTACATTTCTAAATTCTGGTATCTAAAAGATTGTGTCTTCCAAATATATAGCTTTTTTAAAATGAACTTTGTCACATACTATAGCATAAAGATGATTTTGGTGTTTTATAAGTGAAATATCTGTTAGTCTGAACATTGATGAAATTTCCTTTTACCTGACCAATGGCAAGTGTGGTTAATGAATAATCAACCATTAAAAATTACTATGAGAATGCTGAGATATGTAACAGAAATAGCAGTAATTTTTTTTTTCTTAATGATTTTAGACTCTTAATTTTAAACTTCATGAGAGACTTGCAATAACAAGTTACAGAGGCTTACTTGTTTCATTGAGTGGACATTTTTACTTCTTGTTTTCTTTTTTAAAGATTGGTTCTTCCTGTGTCGCTCAAGCTAATTTTGAACTCGAGCCGTCCTTCCACCTCAGCCTCCCGATTAGCTGGGATATAGGCACGTGCCACTGCGCCTGGCTATTTAAACATACTTTGAATATATTTTAGAAATTGCTACAAAAGTGAAAATAGAAAAAAAAAGTTAGAATAGAATATACTGAGAAGTTGCTTTATTAATTAATTGCACTATAAACCAACCATTTGTTGGGTGCCTGTTGCATGCTCACCCCTGGGCATGAAAGTAGAGAACAGTCACATTACCTTCGATCAAGAAATGTATTTACTATTGAGGCAGCAAATAGTAGTTCATGGTGGAATAAACTATGGATCACAAAGGTAGCACTTCTAAGAACTAAATAACATCAAAAGGAATTTGACATTTTTCCATTTGCCTATGTTTTAAAAATTATTAACAGGCATTATTATCAATTATAATGAAGTTCATAGAGTACATTTGTGTTAGAGAAATGGAATGTCGTTTTTCCTGAGTAGAAAGTTGAATATATCAGCTCCTTCTTGGTGATATTAGTTATTATAATAATTTTTCCTCGGTTTGTGTCTTGCACATTTTCTGCATTGAATTTAGTGTGTTTTAAAAGTCTTATATGGTATTAATTAAACAAACTTTTAACAATAAATTTTGTTGGGTTTTAGTTGCCATTACCCAGGGAGGAGCAATACAGCTGGCTAACAATGGAACCGATGGAGTACAGGGCCTTCAGACATTAACCATGACCAATGCAGCTGCCACCCAACCGGGTACTACCATCCTACAGTATGCACAGACCACTGATGGACAGCAGATCTTAGTGCCCAGCAACCAAGTTGTTGTTCAAGGTAAGGGAGTTCAGAACTCACAAGTGTGGTTCTTTGAAAGATTAAAATTTAAACTTATACTTTTTTTAAAAAGTATTGTGTTCCAAAATACTATTAAATGTAGTTAACTTTTCTTCAATAATATTTTCCATGAATTCTTCCATTATTCCACTTGGACCAAAATGTCATGGCATAAAAACAACTATTTTCATTTTTTACAATATAATACACATCTTTAACATCTTTAAGATTTTGGAATGGGAAAAACATGATAGGTTAGAAAGAAATCAGAAAATAGGAAAGATGGATCTTAGATCTAATTCTGCATGGAATTTCTGTCTGACTTTGAGCAGGACCCAGCCTCTTCGGTCGTTTTGTTTTGTTTTGTTTTTTAATCTAATGTCAAACGAAAGCTGTATTTATTGACTGATGAGAATTTTGGAGGTTCATAATTGTTTCTTGCTTCTTATTCAAGGGAAATAGATCCTCTTTTCTAAATTCATCAATTTTTCTTTCAAATGAAAACACTATAGTACAAAAGTAACATGCTAGTTTATAAGTCTCATTTTTGGAGAAAATGGTAGTTGTTAAATCTTGATGAATTCTAGAAATGGTTTTTTACACATCTGTTTTATTTATTGCAGGAATCTATGGATAAAAGTTGACCCATTGTTTGTTGAATTCATTTGAATACTACAAGAATTTATGCCAGATTAGAAATTTGTAGGTTGAGGAAATAGTGAATTTGTTTTTGAAAAATACTTTAATAATACTGCATTTGCCCGTGGTGTAGGTATACCTTCACCACAGATAATTACTTTTGGATAATTCTGAAACGCCAATTAGAAAGTCATCATTTAAAGAACTCTAATGTATTTAAAGAACATATTCTGTTAGTAAACAATATTTGAAAAAATATTTTGCTTATTAATGGAAGTAAAACACCTTTTCACTTTACATGCAGGTACTCAAAAATTGTAAAGCAGGATGTCAGTGAATTTGAATTCTGAACTACAGTTTGAAGATGGTAACATGTTTAGTATATAATCAAATTACACATTTTAACTGATATTGATATCAAATATGAATAATTTTATAAAGACCATCATTCTCTCGTAGTGTTAGGGTTCTCATTTTAGGACAGCATATTTCTTCAACTGTTTTGAGAAGCAGTTTGACAAATAGTGATTGTTTCTTTTCACAAATGGTGAATGGTTTAGTTACAAAAACAAAACGAGTTTACTTCACTATTATCATTTACATGAAAACAGTGTTTACAAATAATATAATTGGCATCAAATCGTACACTTTTACATGCAGTTTTATTTAAATTAGAAATTTACAGTAGTTGACCATTATGCTTTATTTTCTCTTCTATTTTGCTATTTTATGAAAAATCATGGTCGTTTTTATGTCGTGGCAAGAGTCTACTTGAGATTTTTTAATATGAATTTACCAAAATCAGAGGAAGACATTGAGGACTATACTCTTTCTAGGAAGATCAACCCAGCTGTGCCCTACTTTCCTTTTAGACTTAAGGTTGGTAAGCATGTTAACAACAGAATAGAACTGCATTCCAATGAAAGATAAATATAAGATTAAATAGACACAGGTTAAGAGTTCTTTTACCCAAGTGTCTATACTAATAAGTACATTAAATTTAGATGTATTTGTGAGTAATGAGTCAAAACACTGCTGATTTTTTTTTGACATTTTGGCCAGAATCATCTGTCCCTTACTGTTTTGCTAATTCAAAAAGTATGTTCAGATTGATGATTGACAAAGTTGAGTCAGGTCACAGTGTTTGTGTCTTATGCCTTACTCGCTGTTCTTTTCAGCTGCCTCTGGAGATGTACAGACATACCAGATTCGTACCGCACCCACCAGCACCATTGCCCCTGGAGTTGTTATGGCATCTTCCCCAGCACTTCCTACACAGCCTGCTGAAGAAGCAGCTCGAAAGAGAGAAGTTCGTCTAATGAAGAACAGGTACCTAATATTCCATTTACCCAGATGTGGGTTGAGTACATCCACAAATTCTGCGAAATGTGTCTTTATATCTATTGATAATAGGATCTTTGTGCTTACTGCAAATTTTTTTCTGGAAAAATTGATGGATCTTGCTGAAATATCTTTTAGCTAAAATGCATTTTTAAAATGGCTAATATGGAGGGCCAGGAATTTAGTTCAATGGCACTGTGCCTGCCTCACAAGCTCAAGGGCCTGAGTTCAATCCCTGGTACCAGGAAAAAAGTGGGGGTGCTAATAGGGAACAGGGATTTAGCTGAGTGGCACTGTACCTGCCTCACAAGCACAAGGTCCTGAGTTTGATTCCCAGTACCAAAAAAAAAGGCTAATAGGGGCCAAGGATTTAGTTCAATGGTGCCACTGCCTGCCTCATAAGCTCAAGGGCCCGAGTTTGATCCCTGGTACCAAAAAAGATGGGGGTTGGTACCGAGGATTGAACTCGGGCCCTTGCGCTTGCAAAGCAGGTAGTGGAACCACTAAGCTAAATCCCTGGCCCAAGATTTTGTGTCTTTAATCAGAAAGTTTTCTAGTTTGCCCATGGGAAATGTCAAATACAGGTTTGCTATGTTTTTAATTTGCTCCAACCAATTGGCCAGGTTATTTAAAAATTATATTTCATGAGTAGTATTGTTCAATATAGGTGTAGCATGTTTATTTGCACTGTTAAACTTTTATATTCAGTTTATATGTAATAAAGTAAATATATGATGGCCATTCCATGTTTTAATATTTTTCTTTTCTCAACATAATACTTAAAAGAGTCCTTCAAAATAGATTAATTCTAAGAATACCACATTACTGACAAAATCTTAAAATAGATAGGCTTCAACAATGAAAATACTACATGTAATGGCTGCGAATGTAATTTTGCCTAATATGAGCAAGGACACCCAGAGTTCAGTCCCAACACTACACAAAGAAAATACCACATGTCAAAAATCTATGAAATATAGGGCTGGGGATTTAGCTCAGTGGTTCCACTGCCTGCCTTGAAAACGCAAGGTCTAGAGTTTGATTCCTGGTACCCAAAAAAAAAAAAAAAAAAAAAAAAAAAAAAAAAAAAAAAAAAAAAAAAAAAAAAAAAAACAAAATCTATGAAATATAGACAGCTATTTTCAAAAAGTAACTTCATTGCTGTAAATGGTTTTACCATTGATAACAGAATAAAAGTTACTAAATATTTAGCTTAAGATTTAAGTACGGAAATGACTAAGACAAAAACGAAAATTTAGCTCAGCGGTTCGGTGACCTGCCTTATAAGCACAAGGACCCGAGTTCAATCCCCGGTACCAAAAAAAAAAAAATTATATAAAGTTTAAAATTTGAAGTTGGTGGAAACATTCCAGTTTCCACCCCAAGATTCTTCATTTCAACTTTTCTTTTCCCCCCTGGTACTGGGAGTCGAACTTGGGACCCTGCGCATGCAAGGCCGGCACAGTACCACTGAGCTAAATTGCCAGCCCCAAGAGTCTTCAAATACTATTGTAAAGTGAAAGAAACAAATTGAATTTGGAAGAGTCTGGCTTCAAGTGCTGGCTCCATCCCTTGTCTGTATCTTAGGAGAACCTATTATTTATCTTCTGTACTTGCAAGTTTCTTTGTAAAGTAGGGTACCTTGCCCACCCAAATTGATAATCTAAGGGTCAAATTAACTATTCTTCTGAAAGCACTCTGTAACTACAGTGGTCTGTTGAAGTGTTTTTTTGTTTTTTGTTTTTGTTTTTCTATATGGGGATTGAACTTAGGACCTTGCCACTTGCAAGGCAAGTAGCAGAACCACTGAGCTAAATCCCCAGCCCTGAAGTGTTTCTTTTTTGAGTGATTTCATGTTTCAGCAGAGCAGACTCTTTATTCCTAAAATATTCTTAGCTGTCACAGTATTCATAAATTATGCTATGAGAAATGACAGAGCCATTTTAGATATTAGGGGGAAAGTTGGAAAGAAGATGAGTGACTTTTATTTGTACCCTGTCTGACTTTCTGTAAGTACTGAAGTTGTGATACTAAACAAAAGGTGAAGTCATATTTAAATGTATTCTAAAATATAATTGTTTTGTTTGAAATTATTTGTAAAGAAATAAACCATTTTTTAAAATGGCATTTGGGGATGGTGGCACACACCTGTAAACATCAGCACTCTGGGAGGCTAAGGCTAAAGGATTACAAGTCTGAGCCCAACCCAGGCAACTTAGTGACTTTGTAAGACTGTGTCTCAAAAATGTTAAAAGGGGGCTGGAGTGGGGATGCAGTTCAGTGTTCTCAAGGTCCTGGAATCAATTCCCAGTACTTTCCCTGCCATCCCCAAAGAAGTTTCATGCAAATGCCTGGTTATAAAACTCAAGACAACAGCACTTACTAAAGAAAACCGTTCTAAGCAGAACAATCAATCAGAAAAATCTTTTAGATTATAAAATCAAAAGAAATATTTAAGAGTTCCTGTGGTGGTACCACCTGTTATCCCTACCCTTTGAGAAGCTGAGGGAAGAGTATCACAAGACAAAGTTTGGTGTGAGCAATTTAGTAATTTAGCAAGACCCTGTTTCAAAATAGAAAATTAAGAAAGGGCTGAGGATGTATATAGCTTACTCTGAATGCCTTGGGCTCAATCCTTCACATTGTGTCTAGGTAGTTTGGCTCTGTGGACAAAATGTTTCACCCTCATACAGAAAACACTAGAGAAACCAGTGTGATTATAGTGCGTGCCAGCATTGTACCTTCCCACCTGCTCCATCATAGCATCCCAGAACAGCGCTCATGGTTGACACTCACTGACTTGCAGACCAGATTTGCTTTTTTCTGTTTATTTTTCCTCTTAATTTATAATCTCTGTTCCCAATCTCACCTAACCAGCTCACAAGTTAAAGACAGGTTTATAGCTCCTAACAGTCTTTTTCACATGAGATACAGTACAGAATCTACCTGACATTATAGAGTCCAATAAAATACTTCTGCTTGGATTTATTTACACTAGTCTTAAAAAGGAGACTTTCACGGATTACTTTTTCCCTTCATTACCATATTATTGCTGCGTTTTCAGCTCCTACTCAGTGGAACCTGGCTTCTATGACCCCCATATTCTTCCTATATCTTTTTGGTTTTTTTGTTTTGTTTTTTTTTTTGTACCGGGGATCGAACTTGGGAATTTGTACTTGGGAAGCAGCTAGCAGAACCACTGAGCTAAATCCCCAACCCTTCCTTTGTCTATAAAATGGCAAAGACTTCCCCCATGTACAAACACTTGGCAAGACCACTATTCTCTTTTCACTTTGTGGAGTACTTAATACTTTTGACTGCTTATTCTTCTAAACTCTTCTTTGGCTCGTTCAGCTGGAAATTTCATGTATTTCAGGTATCACCTATATGCTGATATCTCATAATTCCATATATTCTGATTTTGATCTTTCTCTTAGGTTCTTTATATTATTCATTCAGTGAAGTTGATTCGTATTCCCACTTTATAGAGGAGGAGAAGGTAAATATCAGAGAAAAGTTAAGAATGCTGACAAAGGTCACATCTTTTAATAGACTGGTAGAACTGAGATTCCAACCTCTGGTGCCAAAACCTATGAACATGCTATTTCATTCCTGTGTCTCTAACCAGAGCACATGGCAATGTGCTGGTGATATGCAGCACCAGGAAGTAGACATCAAATGCTTTCCTTAGGTGTTCATTTTATCCAAATATTAGAAATAAAACTATTTTAAAGTTAAAAACAAAATTATATTATAGTATATAGTACAGTAGATACCTTGGGCTTTTTTCCAAAATCCCCTTACTCTCCTCTGTTGCTATGCACACTTGTGGAAAAGTTAGAGAAGTATTCTCCTGAACATACCCAGTAGGATGACTATCCCTTATGTACATCAAATAGAGCCTATCTTAAACTACACTTGGATGGGAAAAGGTTGCAGCCCCAAAATTCTGCACTATCCAAATTGCTATTCACTCCAAAATGAAGATACCATCCTGAAAGAAAATAGAGATGTTTGTATTAGGGTAGTGCTACTACACTAATCACAAAAGCTTCGTGTCTTACAACAAAATGTCTTTTTTATTTTCCCCTAGTACAGATACATGTACAATTTAATATATAACCTTAACCTTTTAGTTTTGAGATTTACAAGAGATTCATAAATACAGTAGTACCCAGATACCCTTCATTCATCTTCCTCTAATTTTAGCATAATACGTAATCAGAATACATTTATCAAAACTAAGAAGTATATTGGTATAATACTACTAGTTGAATTACACATTTTAATCAGATTTCTCCTGTTTTTATATTCCTTTCCAGAATATAGTCCAGGTACCACATTGAATTTTGTCTTATCTCCTCTAATCTTTAAAAGTTTGTTTCCCTGTCCTTTATAGCCTTCAGAATCACTTCAATAAGGAACCTGACTTCTAGAATATCTGGAGTTTTAGTTTGTCAGATGTTTTCTTATGATTGGATTGAATTACTAGATTTTGGGGGGAAATCCCATATTGGTGTATTGTGCTCTTACCATGTAATATCAGGGAACACATACTAGCATGTCTTAACTACTAGTGAAATTAACTTTGATCACTTGGTTAAAGTGCTGGCCATGTTTCTGTAATGTACAGTTAACCATATTTTTCTTTGTATACTGCATTCCTTAGAAGTAATTTTCACTTAAGTTCACCCCACATTTAAGGGGAGCAAAATTAAACTTTACCTCCGAGAGAGTATTAAAAGAATTTCTGGTTACTTGTTACAACCACTCCAGTATATTTTATAGGGGGATACCTATGGAAACACCTCCTAGGGTTTGCCCACTAATTTTAGTACAGGTTCCTTATCCTAAATGCATAGTACTGGAAGAGTCTACCATGCTTCTGACTGAAGAATTGCATACATTAACCAGTTGAGTATCCCTAATCTGCAAATCCAAAACTTTGAGTGTCACACTGGTTTCAGATTTCTTTCAGCTTTTTGAAT